TAGGGTTTATAGAGTTTGGGGTTTAGGCTTAAGTAGGGTTTAGGGTTTAGGGTTGAGGGTTTAGGATTTAGGGTTTAGGGTTTAAGGTTTGAGTGTTTGACAGGCCATGGGCGGTGGATGCTTCGCCTGTAGGGGTTCTGATGGGCCGCTCGATCCAGACTTGAATTGGCAAGATGACTAGTTGGTCGAATTTGTCTGAGGAGTATGGGTTTAGGGTTTAGGGTTCAGGGTTTAGGGTCTAGGGTTTAGGGTTTAGGGTTCAGGGTTTGGGGTTTAAGGTTTAGCGGTATCCCCTAAGGAGGAACGTCTCTGGGAACTGCAGTGGGTTGCAGCTTTGTTGCGAAGCTGAGGATGATTCAGAGAAACCCGAGCAAGGGCACCAGCCGAAACGTCCACCGCCTGGACCCTGGTTTTTGGCTTCGGCCGGATGTCTGAAGAAAGTCAAAGTTCTTTGCAGAAGGCTTAGACTTAGATAGGTTTACCTGCAGAACAGGAAAAGCATTTCAATAATTTCCAAGTTACCGCACATCCTATAGGTTCGTTTCATAACTTATTGAACTACCGTTATTTCCCCTATTTGTCAAACATCCAGAGTCCGCATTTGCCACGAGCGCTGGAGCCCTAAACCTCAAAGTTTGACTCTGTCAACTCCACATGGCAATCGCCGAAAGCTCGAAGTTGGGTTGTTTGTGATAACCACTATAAGGGGTTCTTTAAGGGTTTAGAAAGGTTTTCCTATAAGGACTACTACAAGGGACCCAGTAAGGATGATAATCACTCCCTAAATCCCAGGGTCCCAGCCCGTAAATCCGCTTTGGTTTGCACCTCGTGTTTAAGCTTGCGTGGAGTTACCCTAAACCCTAAACCCTAAACCCTAAACCCTAATGTTGAAGCTCTTTGACGCCCGTTTCGCTACCCACTACCAGGTCACCGGGGGCATGTGGGACGCTGGACGCCTCTCGCATCGCACCGAAGTGTAGAAGAGATTAGGGGCTGTAAGGTTCCCTAATATAGGGGCTTTCATAATTCCCTACAGGATGCTAGGGGCTCCTTATATTTATAGTAGAATGGCCCCCAAAACCCTATTCTAATTAGGGCCCCTATTTTCACCCTGAAGCCCAAGGTTCAGGGTCGAGGGTTCAGCCGGTGTAGAGGTAAGTATGGGGTTTAGGGCTTAGACAAACCCCCCGAAAAAGTAGGTGAAATCATGGCCGGGCGCAGCACCCATGGAAGGGCTAGTGTTCTACATACTGTCACGGTGAGCTTTGCGGTCTAGACTCAGAGTTAGGGTTTAGGGTTTAGGGAGGAGCTCCTTTGTCGATTTCGATTTGGTAGCCCCTCTTAGTAGCAAGGCAAGGCCTTCAAACTGACTCAGAGCCCGAAAGCAACTTCAGTAAGTGTTCTTTGAATTTAAATAATATATCTATGACAATATTACTGTATATCTATGACAGCCTTATTGTGAATATTGATATTCGTAGTAAGTTTATAATGCTATTTTTGCGGCTTCAGGGTTGGAGTTCAGTGATCCAGAACTGGAGTGTTCAAGGTTTGGGAGTTGGGGTTTCATTCCTCAGGTCGTTCAGATTCTCGAGAATGCTGGCAGTGAAGTAGAGTGCTGCCCGTGAACTAGAGTACTAGAGGTGCGAAGAATCGCCCTACAGAAGGCCACAGCACCACAACCAGATCCAGCAACACCGAAAAGCAGCACCGCAGCTCCAAATCGTAGCTCGTTGAGCGTGCCTGACCTGAGTGACACCTGCTTTCATGAAGTTGTCCAGAGAAAGTGGGGTTTCCAACCCGCAACACCCCAAACCTCAGAATTATAGCATCGACCAGCGTCGCGATTGTTGTATACAAAGCTATTCCTACCACCTGGCGCCCCTGAAATCGAACCTGAACCCTAGGCCGTAAAGCTCCGACACCCGAGTATATTCCCTAAACCCCTCAAACCCCGAAAGCAGTAAAGCCCTACATACAGCCTGAACCCCCTAAAGCCCAACAGCCCTAAACCCTAATCCCTACACCCTCAACCCTTAACCCTTACACACCAAACCCCTAAACCCCTACACCCCTAAACCCCGGAGGGATATGGCAACCGCCACATGAGCTATTTCATAGGGTTAATTCATGGTTGGATTACCCCGCCATCACTCGGGCTATGATTTGTGCAGCTGTACAGGCACTGCATTGTCCTGTTCCATTGCGTAGTCCTGTTGCGGTCTGGAATTGTAAAAGTGTACAAAGTTGACAAGAGCAGCGCGCAAGCGGCGCAATGCTTGTATACTTAACACCGGGTGGTCCGCAGACGTCTTGCGTAAACCCCTAAACTTTAAACTGCTAAACTCTAAAAACCCTTAACCCTTAACCCTAAACCCTAAACCCTAAACCCTAAACCCTAAAAACCCTTAACCCCCCTGGAGATTCCAAAAGCCCTGAGCACAGGATGTGGCAGTACGAAGCCGAGAGGGCCGAAGGCCGCAACTACACGCACTCGAAGACCACGCTGATCCAGTACCCCAAAGAGGCGCCGGCCCCAGAACCTAAGAGGTTTGGGATAGTGTTTTTTAGTGGTTTTGTTTTTTCATCATGATATATAAAGCCGGAAGGTAAAGATGCATGAGATGGAATGAGGTGGAAGGTAGAATTTTTGTGCAGATTATTGCCGCGACTATCGCTGTGTTTAGTCTGTGGGTTTTTGGGGGCATACAGGGGCTCCGGGTTCGTGGAGTTCGGGGCTTAGGATGTAGATTCCTTGGCCCCCCCTAGGCCCCCATGCTGCCATTGTAAAAAGGTTTACGGAGGCTTCTTATTTAAAAGCCCTATAATTCGAATAATAAGGCCTCTTCAGGGATCGGCGACTGCTTGCGAGATTCATGGTGGTAGAGCGGTCTTGTGTTTGGGGTTTTAGGCTTCAGGGTTTAGGAGCTTATGGTTTAGGGTTTAGGTTTTAGAGTTTCAGACAAGTTTCAGACTTAAAGGGCTTAGGGAAAGGTTACGAATATAAGCAATGACATTTGGGCCATTTTGTCAGTAGTACGTAGTAGCGAGAACCCACAGGCGGGATGTGCTTTGTGCGTAGATATTGCTTTCATGATCGCCACGTGAGTCAACCCAAATATGCACTTCTCAGTCTCAGGACTTCCCAGGAGCCCCTGCATCTAAACCCTAAACCCTAAACCTTAAACCCCAAAACCCAAAACCCCAAACCTTAAACCCTAAACCCAAAACCCTCGAGAAGCCGCAAGAGAAGTCCTATACTAAGTCCAGGGCTTCCCTTTGGGGCTGAAGTGCGTCTGAACAGCTGAACTTCGAGCTTCGGTGGTTCAGGCTCGACGGGGTTTAGGGTTTAGGGTTTAGGGTTTAGGGTTTAGGGTTTAGGAATGCAGTTTCCCGGAGATCTGGAAAACGCTTCTGTGGCCTGGATCTTTAGACCCCTACAGTAGTTACACCCAAATGTCTGCCACCAGAAGACTGCGATAGAGCCCCAACATTCAGAGAGCAACTAGGATCCTCAACTCAAAGACCCTGAATCCTTTGAGGCCATCATATGTGAAAGCTCCGCTAAAACAGTTGTTTGCTATTAACAGTAGCAATAGATAGTAGGAATTTATGAACAAAATCCTCCCCCTCCTCATCATCATAAAATGAAGGGAGCTCTGATATGCTCTGGGATGGCCTCAGGTTTGCTTCGCCCTGGAGGCTTGCGCTCAGCGCTCTCTGTTCTCTCTGAGTGCATGGTTTTGCAAGCTTTCTGACGTACAATTTTGGTGTGTGAGGTTGCAGGAAGGGCGTAGGGTTTGGCCTGTTGGGATCTCATGGGTTGTGATCTTGGGGTGGTGAGGGCTTTCCGTTGTAAGAACTACGAATTGATTGGTTTCAGCTCCAGATTCCATAAACCTAAACCTGCAAGCCCTCGACCCTCAATTCGACTGCGCAGCGAGGTCATAGCAGACTAGCGGACAGTCCCAGTATTTCGTAGGCCTTGTAGTTGCTTGACGTATGTTAAGTGGCTGCTATCACTGGAGCTGACTTCGGGGTGGCATGCCGTAGGTACCAGTCCCACCACACGCCTCAGGGCCTCGCTCTTGTTTTCAGGACCGCTACCAGGCACTGCGCGCACTGCAAGCGAAGGCCAGTTCGGAGACAGGACTTATCGTTCAGGGCCTCCGAGTTTCTTTGGCTGGGCCTTGCGACACCCTAAGGGTCCATGTACCCAAATAGTAGAACATTGGCCTTAATGTAGTCCCTATATGGGTACTTTAGGGCCAATGTTCTACGATTTTTGGGAAAGAGAGGATCGCGGGCTTGATCGAGGTTTTGGGTCTCCGGCGAGAGCTCTCGGAGTCTAAGCTTGAGATGCGCAGTTGACCTGACGCGGGGTGCACCCAGACAGGTTGGACTCGTTTGGGTGTAGCCATAGGCCCCATAGTAGTTCCTTTTATTTTTGGGATTACCTAAAAGGATTCTATATATGAGCCCCAAAAAGGAACTACTATGGGGCCTATGGGTAGTGTGTGCGATTTCGGGCGGAAAGCCACAGAGAGGGAGCGGAGACCACTCCGAGTGTCAAAGGCTCTGATAGCCGTCAGCGGCAGGGTTTGCAAGGTTTTGGTCGGTTTAGGGGGTTTGCCGTTTAAAGTTTAGGGTCCTGTAAGGTTTGTAGGGTTTTGGCTTTAGGTTTAGGGTTTAGGGTGGGCTTATCCAACCTTGCACTTTATACATCCCGAAATGGAGTCGAAGAGGACAGCGGGCCCACTGCACATGACTACTCCAGTCCTCGGATCAACGTTATAACGCCTGCACCCTGAAATCGTAGTCCGTACTCTCCATTCCTTCGTCGAACGACCCCAGAAACCCTAAACCCTAAACCCTAAACCCTAAACCCTAAACTCAGATCCCCGCAGGCCGTCTAGAGCCCCAGAAGCCCCAAAGCCCCATGCCCGAAAGCCCGAAGCCCAAGCCCCCAAAGCACAAAGCTCGTAACCCTAAACCCCTTATCTCCAAACAGGCTTTGGAAACAAGAAAAGCAAAACAGAAATCAACACAGCCCTTAACCCTACAAACCCTATCCCCTATCCCCTATCCCCTAAACCCTATCCCCTAAACCCTAAACCCCATCCCCTAAACCCTAAACCCTAAACCCTAAACCCTAAACCCTAAACCCTAAACCCTATCCAAGAAAACTGCTCTGGGAGGCTTCACAGCTCGGAGAGCCGGTGATGGACCGCCAGCGCGCAACGGATGCCTGGCGCCTGAGGCCGCTACAACTCGTTGTTGCTTTGTTGGGGGTTTAGGGGTTTAGGGTTTAGGGTTTAGGGTTTAGGGTTAGGGTTTAGGGTTTAGGGTTTATATATGTTTAGGGTTTAGGTTGTGGTTGGGTGTTTTAGTTGTAATGCGGGGTTTTGGTTGTTTCGGTAGGGGTTTCGTCACAGGCTTTCTGAGGGTTTGGTTAGTTTGTTTTAGGGTGTGGGGTGATTGCGGACATGAGTCTGAAGCGAGCAAAGCGAGATGTCTTGTGCATCACTCAAATGCCTAGCCAAGCTTTGAGCAGGCCATTCTTCTAACTAAGCTTAGCGACGATTGCATCAATACACTCTAACATGGACTCGTATGACGTAGACCACGTATCTAACAGCTGTACATCGAAGTTTCGCGTAATTACGCAGACATCTACGCGTCAGGTTCCGCGGTTCAGTCGAAAAGTTAAGTAACTTTCCGCACGAGGCACAGGCTTCAGCCGTTGCCCAAACCGGTTCAAGAATGTGCGTGCGGAAATCATTTTCAAGAAGCTGATTTTGCTTGAACCGGTTTGGGGTGCTACTTGATGCTCTTGGAGGTCGGGGTTGCAGGCTTTAGGGTGGTTTCGTGATGCGCACCACAGCAGTCGTTGGTAGAGTTTGGCTCATACCCTGCTATTTGTGACTTTCCGGAGGTGGTTTTAGAGGCTCCAATCTATTGGCTTTGGGTTTATCTTGTATAGTTCAGGGTTTCAGGCTTTGTCACTAGTCGTATGAGGAGCTTCTACCCTCGATGGCCTTCCATAACAGAGCAGGAGAATCCTACATGCCGCCTGACCTAAACCCTAAACCCCTAAACCCTAAACCCCTAAACCCCTAAACCCTAAATCCCTAAACCCCTAAACCCCTAAACCCCTAAACCCTAACCCCTAAATTTTTGCCACCCACATGAACTTGGAGGCTATTGAGCCAAGCTCCGAAGCTCCGGTGCTCCTTTAGTGCATCTGAACCCTAGCCCTAAGGGTCCATGTACCCAAATACTGTATACTTTGGCCTACTAACGTAGTCCCTATATGGTACTTTAGGGCCAATGTATCTACAATTTAGGTACATGGACCCTCAGGGGAGGGCTTGCCCCGGCCTTATAATTAGAATTGCTAGAATAGGGTGTTGGGGCCCATTGTTTTATATTTTATGAACAGGAACCCCCAAAATAGTATAGGTTAAACACCTACATTAAACCCTGCAGCCCCTCCAAGCCCCAAGCCATCCAACACGCCTCAAAAGCCCTGTAGCGCCATCGCAAAGACTCGCAAAGGCCTATAAAACCTTAGTGGAGGAAGCCATTGAAGACTTTTGTAAGTAAAATGTCAAGCCACTAGGAATTCAAACCAAGCCTAAAACCGCAAACCCGATACCGAAACCCCATACCCTAGACCCTGAACCCTGAACCCCAGACCCCGAACCCTTAACGGAGGCTAGACCGCATGAGCCCACAGTTGCTGCGGGAAGTCTTCCGCCAGAACGAAGCCTTCGAGCAGGCGGCTGTTGGGTCTTCAGGCTTTACGAGGGCTAGGCTTAGGGTTTTAGGGTCTGGGGCTCAGGGTTTTAGGGTTTAGGGTTGTGGGGTTTATTGTTGAGCTCTTGAAGTTTTTATGGGATCGCTGAGGGTTTTCGTAGGATTCATAGGGTGTTTGGAATCTTTGCAGGGGCTGTGAAGAGATTTGAACCGGTTTTGAGGGCTACAAGAGTGCTCTTTCTGGGCTTTAAATGTTTTTTGTCGAAAGGTGTTTATGTTGCTGTTGGCTGCTTATCAAGGTTGATGGCGCTCACTGCTGTTAGTGTTACGATAGTTTTACTTTGCCAGTTCTTGTGGCGGAAGCGGGGGGTACTTAGGGTGCTCAGGGCTCAAGAGGTCCTAATGGGCTTTGGGAATTGGGGTTTAGAGCTCGGCACTCATAGGGTTTATGAGTGGAGTTTAGGAAGTGGAGTTCTGAAGTTCAGGGATGTTCCGGGTGTAGGATTGTAAGGCTTGAGGTGTCAGCAGAGGTGTTCACCGCCCAAGGATGTAAGGTTTAAGGATCAGGATTCAGGTGGTTCAGGCGTAATCAGGTTTAGGGTTTAAGGGTTCAGGATTGAGGTTTAGGGTTTAGGGTTTAGGGGTTCAGGATTGAGATTTGAGTTGTTTCCCGAATTTGGGCATCAATGACTGCTCAGACTCGCATTCCGCGGGAGGGGAATCCTGTCTTCGGAGCTAAGGACTCTAACTTGCCTCAGCTGTTACGAGTTTTACAAGAGGAGCTAGTTATGGAGCAGTGGTATAGTTCTTATAGACCCAGAACCCTCACCGCAGAAAGGTACACCTTCAATCGTAAACCTCTGAGTGACACTCTAAAGAGCTGAAAATATGTACCGGAAGCTGTACTGAGGCCTTAGATTCTGCCTTGATCCAAATGTCTCAGAGCTATGCCCCGCATCAACGGTGACTGTATTGCCTGCAAACCTTCCACTTCAATTCTTTCCGTTGCGGAGTCCTTCGTGTGTGCTGGTTCGATCTGTTGTCACTCCCGAGCTGATATGCGCAGCCCAGGCCCTACATTGACGCTATACCTAGACCCTCCGTCCACCCTTATCAGACCCTGAATACCCATCATTTTGGGACCATATACATAACCCTATTTGAGGGTTCAGGTCGGGTCCTGGTAGTCGCATTCCTGATCACCCTAAACCTTAAACGATTCATCATTTCGAAATGATGATACAGATCATGAGGCACAGTCAGCATGTCTGAGGCAGGTCATGGTTGCCATGTATAAGTCATACCTTAAACTACCAAACCGTACTTTTTTGTAGTTTCCTATTATAAACCCTAATATGAGTTTATAGGGACCCTACAAAAAAAGTAGGTTCTGGTAGGTTAAGGTATGTGGGACCTGACCTAGTCGACAGAAAGTGGGGGAGATCATGGTATGGTGTAAGGTGGTTGAATCCCTATAGCGTGTGGCTTGCATTCCTCGCTACTTCCTCAACCAGCATGGCATTCCCGACCAGATGCGGTAAGGAAAAGAGGTGTCAACAAGAAACTAAACCCTAAACACACTAAACCCTAAACCCCTAAACCCCTAAACCCCTAAACCCTAATCTGTTCCTTTGCCCAGGCTCCTCCGAAGGATCTCGAAGATGCCGCTCGCCGAATCAACCCGGGATCCTAAAGTCTGCAAGCCCTGAAGCCCTACGGAGTGAAAACTTAGGGTTTAGGTTTTAGGTTTAAGCTTTTGGGGTGTTGGGTTTAGGGTTGGGGGGGTTAGCAGCTTCGGGTTTAGGCCTCTGTAACTGAACTTCATGCTCCATGCTTGGAGGTTCATGGGTAGTTATAACTGCGGTTATAAGTAGGGTAACTATACTTATAACCCATACTAGGGGACTTACAACCCTACTTATAGCTACCCATGAAC